ACGGGATGAGAAGTCTCAGCTGAGCTCTTCTGCCTGTTTCTTTCCAGACCCTCTAGACATCAACCCCAGTGTGGACTTCCTATTTGACTGTGGGCTGGTGGGACCAGATGATGTGTCCACAGAGCAAGATCTGCCTCGTGCTGTCCGAAAGGTGAGCTCTCTGTGGGTACTGCCTGCTTAAAGCTCTTTGGGTTTGGAGTGGGAGCTGCCATTTAGGATGTACAAGGTGAAGTGTACCAAAAGCTTTGGTGTACTGGGGAGGTTGTGCCGTCTCCCTTTAGGGCATGCCTGGCCCGTGGGCCACTCCTTGAATGAAAATACTTGCCTGTCACTTTGGAGGACCTTTCCGTGCCACAGGTCTGTAAGAGCTGGCCTCTTTCCTACCTGTGGTCCTCCTAACTTAACGGGCCTTGTTGGCTTGGCTGTCAGCAGAAGGATGCTTGCTGGCATGGGCACAGGCACACTGGGGGAGGGAGCTGGCAGTCAGCAGGTCTGGCCAGGACTCTTGTGTATGTCCCAGGTAGGTGCCGAGTTTCATGGTACACCTCTCTACAGGGGCAGAAGCGTCTGGTGCTCTCTGAAAGCTGCTCCCGGGACTCACTGAGCAGCCAGCCCAGCTGCACAGTGCTGAACTACTCATATGGTGTGAATGCCTGGAAGTCCTGGGTGCAAGCCAAGTATGCAGGCGGAGAGACCAGCAAGGGAGAGGAGCTACGCTTTGGCCGTAAGTGCCCTGACTAGATGGGGTGGAGTGGCAGAAACGTCCCAGAAGTTGGGTCCCAGGGTGCTGAGGTGCTCCTGGCCTTGCAGGCTATTGTCTGAGGCTGCTGTGCTTGTCTCCATAGCCAAGCCCATGAGGATCAAGGAAGATATCTTGGCCTGCACAGCAGCTGAGCTCAACTATGGCCTGGCCCAGTTTGTCAAGGAGATAACACGGCCCAATGGGGAGCGCTATGAACCAGACAGCATCTATTACCTCTGCCTTGGCATCCAACAGGTGAGGGAGGGCTTGCTGCCCTCAAGTCCTCTACAGCCAGACCTGGAGGTCAGATCTGGTTGAGGGGAGCTTTTACCCCTTATTCTGCCTTCTGGGAACCCGGAGAGGATCACTGGATTCTCCTTCAGTGCCTCACCCCAGGACAGCAGCCCACCTGGCTCGGTCTTTGTTCCCAAGCCCAGTGGATAGGGTAGGAGCTATTCCCCGGCCTTACACCCTTCTTGCACATCCTTGAGGAGGACTGGGAGGTCTCCCCAGACTCAGTCCCTTCTTCAGCACCAAGTATGCTTTGTCATGCCTCGGGGTTTTCCTCACAGCTCTCAGAAGTGGCTGAATTTAGGAGTCTGCCCTGCAGCTCTGGTTGTACAAGGAGGGGCACTCTGCATGTGTGCCCTGGGCTCTCTGGGAAGGGTTTGCATTCCAGGTGCTGCCATGTCTCTCTTGACTGTGTGTTCTGTCCTTTCTAGTACCTGCTCGAGAACAATCGTATGGTGAATATATTTACAGACCTTTACTACCTGACCTTCGTGCAGGAGCTGAACAAGTCCCTGAGTGGCTGGCAACCCACAATCTTACCAAATAGTATGTGTCTCCAGAGTACGTTCAGTCATGTGTACCCAGTTTGTGCTTCTAGCCTTGGATCCTCCAGTCTGATTGTGCTCCCCCAGCCTCAACCCTCTTTCTTGGAATAGGTAGCATGGTCCCACTGTGTCTTGGGGTCATACCGACCCATACTGACAGCAGAGCCAGCCTAATTTATGCCTTATGGGAGCAGAGCGTGTGTCCTGGGACAGTCTGAATCTTTACAACATGTCACAGTGATGTCTCCACCCTTGGCAAAGATGATACCAAGCTGGGAGCCATACTGGCCCGTGCCTTTGTGTTCCCAGCACACGCGTGAGCCCAGCACATTATGCAACTGTTGGCCAGGGCTGCTGTGCTGCTGCCTTGAGAACAGACTAACTTGGAGCTCTGCAGAGGCTTTTCATGATGCTGTGGTCGGGGCTGCCTTCCCTGCTGTGTCTCGTCAGTGGTTAGTTCACAGATCCAGCCTCACCTCTGCATATTGGCTGTCCCAAGCAGAGGCATTTGGCTCAAGACCTGTGTGTCTAGGCAGGAGCTGGCCACGTCTGTCCTCCCTGCTGCTTTTCCTTCACCTCACGCTCAGTGTAGTGGAGCACTGGCCAGGAGTTCACTTTGTGGCCATCTATAGGAATGAGTGGTTAGGATTGATTTGGGTTCTGGCCTGTGGTTTGGCTACACTCTGGGGTGGCTAGTGGCTAGGAAGAGCCAGTATCTCACTCAGCTGACAGCTGTGGAGAAGTAAGCTCATGGAAAAGGGGATGTTGTGAAGCATGAGTCTTTTGCAGTGAGCTTGCTTGGACAGGGTGAAGGGATTGCCACGAGGCCACGCTTGATGTGACCTGGTTCTTCCTCTGTGTGTTGCAGACACAGTTTTCTCACGTGTTGAGGAAGAGCACCTCTGGGAGTGCAAGCAGCTGGGCGTTTACTCACCCTTTGTCCTCCTCAACACCCTCATGTTCTTCAACACCAAGTTCTTCGGGCTGCAGACAGCGGAGGAGCACATGCAGCTCTCCTTCACCAACGTGGTGCGCCAGTCCCGCAAGTGCACCACGGCCCGTGGCATGACAAAGGTGGTGAGCATCCGCTACTATGCTCCTGCCAAGCAGAAGAAAGGCCGAGGTAGGGTCTGATGGAGCATCTCTCTGGTCCTCCCCCTTGGCTCCCCCCACTGGGTCCCAGGTGTGATCCTGCTCTCTCCCCCTCTGCAGATGGTGCCTCTGGAAAGCGGAAGCGTGAAGAGGAAGTACCGATGCTGGAGCAGCGGGAGAACAGGATGAACCCACTCCGATGCCCCGTCAAGTTCTATGAGTTTTATCTCTCCAAATGGTGAGGCTTTCTCTGGAGAAGGGGCGTGTGCCATTTTGGGGTCACCTCTCAGTCTTGGTGAGACCCTGCGGTGCGGCTGCTGCTCTCCAAACATTTGTACTTGAGTGTGAAGCCTTGCTCAGGCTCTGTGCTGTTTGCGTAGACCATGATTGAGAGAATGCTTCTCTCTGGCCCATTCCACTACTTGCCTCTCTCCAGACAGGCATGAGTGTGCAGTATCAGTCCTGCTGCTTGGCTGGTTAGGGGCTTTGGTCCTGGGTGAGGAGCTTCAGACTCAGCTTGCGTCCTCGTCCTGCCAAAGGATGAGAGGCCGTGACGAGCCCCCTTACCCATAAGGGCAGGCCAGGATTTCTGAGCCCCTGGAGCTGATATCCCAGGGCTCATCTCCCTCTCTCTTTACAGTCCTGAGAGCCTGCGGAACCGCAATGATGTCTTCTACCTGCAACCTGAACGGTCATGCATTGCCGAGTCCCCGCTCTGGTACTCTGTCATCCCCATGGACCGGAGCATGCTGGAGAGCATGCTGAACCGCATCCTGGCTGTGAGGGAGATCTATGAAGAGCACAGTCGGCTCAGCGGGCTGGAGGATGACACGGACTAAGAGTGAGGTGCTGCTGGGCTGGCTGTGCTCCAGCCCTGGACACCTTGTCTCCCTGCATCTCGCTGCAGGGTAGGGGCTGTGCAGCATGGGAGGGGACGGTGCTGCGGCAGTGCTGTCTCTTCATCATCACCGGACTTGGACATCCCATCCTGCTCATTACAGGTCTCTCTCACACACACGGCCCCCGTGCTCAGCCCTGTCTCTGGTTCCAGCTGCTGGGTGAGCCATCTTCCCTGGGGCTAGTCCCCACAGCACAGGGGTGGCAGAGCCCCTATGGCAGCTCCCGTTGCCCAGCCCTGTGCCCCCATATCCTCAGCCATGACACTACCTTCCTCCCCCCCTGCCCCAGGGCAGGAACCGCACAATACGGCAGAGTGCCATCTGGGACCAGCGACCCGAGGCTTTCAATTCTCACTTCCTTTAACATCCCCTTGAGAGGGTGCAGGTGGCGTGGCAGGAAGGGTAGCTCTGCTGCTGAAGCAGGATGGTGTTTTCAAGCCAGTGGGGAAGGACCACTGGCAACCCGAGAGCTGCCAGGTCAGGGGCAGGACAGGCTTGGGGTGGCTGGGAGGAGTGGAGGGAGCCGGCGCTGGAATGTGAAGGCAGAGACTCAGCCTTGCTGCGGGGACCCCTCCCTCGTATGCAGCCACGATTCCTCCCTCGATTTTGTCAATGTTTACTGAGTCGACAGAAAACTGATGGAGACAGGTCTGTGCTAGCACTAGCCCTCTCTCCCCGCTGTTCCCTGTCCTGGCGTAACGCCCCCCTCTTCCCAGTGCAATGTGCCATCAGTGGGTCCCTCTGCTCCAGCCAGGGGCTTGAGCAGCTGCTGGCAGAAGCAAAGAGCTCTGCCTGGCCTCCCCGCTCCCTCCCAAAGCAGCGGGGTGCTAGTTCCCTGCCCGGGGCGAGCCTGGCTCTGGCTGCGCCGCTCCCTGCTGCCTCCTGCTCCTCCTCGTGTTCTGGTCGGTTTTCTTGAGCTGTACATGGGTCTCCTGTTGAGCCTGTATATATTGTTCTGGGCCCTGGCCCGGGGCCATCTGTTCTCTGTGTCCATGTGGAGAGTGAGCTGCTCACCAGTCTTGTTGTAGTGATGCCAGGGCAGTAGGACTAACCCTGTGTCTCTGGAAACCATTAATTTCAAATAAAGATGCGGAAAACTTTTGACAGCCCCTTCTTTTCCCACCTTGGGCAGGGTGGGCACTGGAGGAGAGCGGGGCCAGCATCCCACTGCTCCCCTGCACCTTTGTTCCTGTCCGTCCCTGCCTGCCTGTGCTGCCTGCGCTTCCTACCTTGGAATGCCCTGGCATGCTGGGGTGGCCCCTGACCCTGTGCCTGCTGGTGCCAGCCTGGCATGCCCTGCCTGTCCCTTGCCTGTAGGGCTGCCACCCAACCCAACCCAGCAGCGGCCCTGCCCTGGCCATGCAGGGTGTCCGTGGGATGGACCGGTCAGAGAGCGATGCTGCGGTGCCCGAGGGCAGAGAAGGAGTCAAGTGAGGTGCAGTGGGTGTTTATTTGCTCCCCAAGGGCTGATGGGCTCCTGCCCCAGCCCAGCCCTACTCTCAGCCCCGCTGTTCCCACAAGCACGAGGAGCGGCTGAGCTGTGTCCCTGAGGACAATCTCTTGCTCTGGCTGTGGGGTCCGTGCCACGAGCCCGGCGGGTCCTGGAGACAGAACCACCACCATGGTCACCCGAGCATCCCAGCAGGCCCCATTTACACTGCCAGGTCTGCTGCTCGTGCCTTCCCGTGGGACCCGCTGGCCACCCCCAGCCATGCACCTGCCTTTCCCAGGGGCGCCAGCCCGTGGAGGGGTCTGCTAGCAGCCACGGGGCTGCCGCTGCTGGGCAGGGTGCTGCGGGGCCCTGCGGGGCCGCCAGGACTGGGCAGGATGCGGGACTTGGGGCCTGGCCCCTGCCGGCACTTGGTGAGGCCCAGGTGGTAAATCTCCACCAGGTTGAGCAGCAGGGACACACAGGCCACCCCCAGCATGAAGAGGATGAAGATGGTCTTCTCAGTGGGCCGGGAGATGTAGCAGTTGACAGTGTTGGGGCAGGGCCAGCGGCTGCAGGTGTAGAGGGGCTTCAGCTGGAACCCGTACAAGGCATACTGACCCACAATGAAGCCCACTTCCAAGAGAGCCTTGAAGACAACATTGCAGATGTACGTCCTCAGGATGGCCCCCCGCATGCAGACCCGTCCCCGTGTGTCCCCCGTGGAGAGCCGAGGCTGCCTGGAGCGCTGCCGCCTGGCCCCGCTGCCAGCCTGTGCCACTGCTTGCTGCTGTGCCTTCTCCTCCAGATGGACCAGGTGCAGGATGTGGCCCAGGTACACGAGGCTGGGGGTGGAGACGAAGATGATCTGCAGGACCCAGAAGCGGAGGTGGGAGATGGGGAAGGTGCTGTCGTAGCAGGCATTCTGGCAGCCGGGCTGCTGCGTGTCACAGGAGAAGCCAGAAAGCTCGTCACCCCAGACCCGCTCAGCAGCTGCCCCCAGGACCAGGATGCGGAAGACGAAGAGGACGGTGAGCCAGACCTTCCCCACCACTGTGGAGTGCTCTTGCGCGCTCTCCAGCAGCCGCCCCAGCAGGCTCCAGTCCCCCATGGCACACACCGCAGTGCCCTGCAAGACAGCCGCCCTCCAGACACGGCCACCCCACAACCTGCCAAACCACCACCCTGTCCCCCGGCCAGGTGGACATGCAGGGACCCAACCTGGGGCTGTCCCTGGAGTGTCCCCACCCTGCATCCCACGGGACCCTCTAACCTACAGTGGGGAGGGCAGCAGGAGCAAAGCCCGCCGGCAGAAAGCAGCCCGGCCGTGCTGGGAGCACCCCGGGGGATGGCGTGGTGGTGGTCCTGCACGGGGACCCCTCACCGTCAGCGGGCGCGTGGGACGGAGCCCGCTGCTCCCACGCTGTCGGCTCCCCTCGGCAGGGCAGTGCGGGGTGCTGCAAGGTCCCTTCCCAGCTGGTCCCCAGCTCCTCGGCGGGGTGCGGACCCGGCTCCGTCTGTCCGTCCACCCGACCGCGGGTGCCCGGTTATTGGGGCATGAGGCAGCCGCCTGCCACATTGGTTTGCATTGTGACTGGCAGATGAAACAGCCAGTGGGGAATCTTTTTCCCTCTATTTTTGGTCTGGGCACTTGTCTAAATATATTTGGGCCTGCAGGGGCTGGTGCTAGGGGAGCACGAGCCCTTGGACGCTGCGCAATGCCACCCAGGGGTCACTGCTCCTGCACGCTGGCTGCCAGGGCACTGTGGCCACAGGTCCAGCCCGGCGTGGGCACTGCAGCCCCCGCAGCCCCTGGTGGCACCCACCTGGGCTAGGGTGCGGGGGTGGGCACCCCACACTGGCACCCCAGCCCCCAGCACGTCCTGTCCAGAGCAGAAAGGAGGGAGGCAGCACCTGAGAACGGATATTTAATGGCCCAAGATGCCCTCCTGGCCACCTGGGAGGGCCGGACCAGCGCCTGAGGGATGCTATCCATGGGACGGGGACAGCACAGGGCCGTGGGGTGGCTGTGGGGTGGGAACAAGGGCTGGGCCCCCTGCGGCGCCGGCCCTAGCAGGCAGAGCAACGGTCACCCTTCTCCTGCAGCCCAGGGTTGCGGCGCAGCATGTCCTTGAGGGAGCCGTCCTGCTCTGTCAGCAGCTGGTTGATCTCATTCTGCTTGTACTCGGAGGAGAGCTTGTGCCCATAGAAGGAGCCCTTCCCTGATGGGGGGTTGGAGTTGTGCTGGCCTCGGCGGGCACAAGCCCGCACCACCAGGTAGACCAGCTCTGCCATGTTGAGGACGATGCAGATGCTGGAGGTGACCAGCATGAAGACGGTGAAGATGGTCTTCTCCGTGGGCCGGGAGATGAAGCAGTCGACGGTGTTGGGGCAGGGGTAAGCCTCGCACTTGACCAGCCGCACCATCTGGTAGCCTGGGTAGAGCATGTAGAAGATGTACATGAACACGGCCTCGAAGAGCAGCCTGAAGACCACGCTGCAGACATACGTCCACCACAGCGAACCTGATATGCGCATCTTGTGCTTCTTCACCTCCTCCATGTGCTTGGGGTCCGCGTGCCCCGTCAGCACCAGCAGCTTCTTCTCCTGGTGCTGCTGGTAGGCCACGTGCATGGCCACGAGGAGGGCTGGCGTGGTGACAAGGATGAGCTGCAGGGCCCACAGACGGATGTGAGAGATGGGGAAGAAGTGGTCATAGCAGACACTGTTGCAGCCGGGCTGCTGCGTGTTGCAGGTGAAGGCAGATTTCTCGTCCCCCCAGACGCTCTCAGCCGCCACCACCAGCACCATTATCCGGAAGATGAAGATGACGGAGAGCCAGATGCGCCCGATGGCGGTGGAATGGCGGTTCACCCCGCTCAGCACTGTGTAGAGGCCGGCCCAGTTCATCGTTCCTCACGTCTGCAGGAGTGAGCAGCGAGAGGAGGTGTTAGGAGCGGGAAGGGCCCCTGGCTGAGAGCCACCGCGTCACGGCCCTGCCTGGTAGCAGCTGCCCCGGGAGGGACCTGGGAGCAACCGGCTGCCACAGGCCTGGGAGATGGACGGCAGGATGAGCAGACGGCAAGACAGCAGCGTGACTCCTGCCACCGACACAGCTCAGGGCAGCATCTGGGCTGGAGCAGGCAGGAGGGTGGTTGGCCCTGCAGTGCCAGCTGCTCCTGTCCTGCCACCCCACACTGGCACAGGGATCCTGACCCACCGCTGCTCGTGGGTTGGGATGGGGGCGAAGCTCCCACACCTCTGCAGGGCTCCCTGATCTTCAGCCAGTGCTGAGCTCTCTGCCTACAGATGGATCCCAGGAGCTCCACAGGCTCCTCTGCACCAGCACATCCCTGCCCTCCTCCCCCCCAATCCCTGCAGAAGTGGGACCGGGGAGCCCCACGCTGGGGGGACCACATGCAGCCACGCATAGGCCACCCTCCAAGAGCTGTCGCTGCCTGGGGAACATGGGCTGATCCCCAACCCCAAGCACAGACCCCCCACCCTGCTGGGGCCACCCACCGGCACTGAGCGGCCCCGGGGAGCTGCTTCCCACCCCGAGCATGAGGCTGGGGGGGCTGGGACCTGCCCTCTGGCCACCCCCGGTGCAGAGGGTCTCGGCGGCGCATACCTGCCGGTGAGGAAAGATCCTTGCGAGCTGCCCCCAGTGGCCCCTCTAAGGTCTCATGTCTCCGGCAGGAGAGCTCTGCTCCTCCTGCCCTTGTCTCTATCCGCCACTGCCCTGCACTGGAAGTCATATGCTGTTTTATAAACCATTTACATACAATGGGACCTTTTATCAGCCCCTGAACAACACACTTTAGCATTCAGATCCAACGCCCTGACTTCCGCCCACCCGGGCCAAACAAAGTGCCTGTGTGCTGCATTCCCGCTGCCCAGCCCCACACCCGCTCCCACCTCACCCCGCGCTGCCCACGGCTGCAGCCCCCCGACCGTGGGCTGCAGGGTGCTTGTCGCTCTGCCCAGCAGGACCTGTGCTGTGCCCATCACGGGGCTGGATGGCCAACTGGGGTGCCGGGGGGGGGGGGGGGGGGATGTCCCCAGCTCCATGCCCATCCCGCATGGATGGCATGGGGCCCCGTGACCTCCGTGTGAGCACCGAGTAGTCTGTGAGGACCCGTGGGGCTGGGTGCACTGAGCCACCATGGGTGCCACCATGCCCTCGAGGCTCTCCTGCCGGGGGGGGGTTGGTGCCAGCAGTGACAGCTGCGAGGGTGCTGGATCTGTCCTGCGCCAGTCCCATCCCACTGGGGACATGGAAAACAGTCTGCCGGGGCGGCACTGGCTGTGTGCTGACGGGGTGAGCCACACGCTGTGGGAGCTGCGCTCCTCTCCCGGGGTGCCGGGTCACTGGTACTGCCCCACTGCTCGGACACGCTGGCAGGGGCACGAGTCCCTGTGCCCTGTCCCAGCCACACCGTCACACTCTTCCCCATCCCTGCTGGGGGTGGTGCCGCGTCCCTCAGGTCTCGTCACCGGCCTTAGGTAGCCTCGGCAGCACATCCCGTAAAACCTACCCGCTGGGAGCCCACAGGGTGGTGGGGCAGCAATGCCGTCCCAAATACCACCTCCACCCCGCAGCCCCCGGGGTGCGAGTGCCTGGAGCTGCACAAGCACTGATGATGGACAAAGCCCCTGCAGTGAAGCTGTTGGGGGGGCAGCTGGTGCCCAGGCCATGCTTTGCTCCTCACCCCACCCCCCCATTGGGGGCCAGCACTCCCAGCTCTGCCCTCCCCGGCCCACAGCTGAGCCCTTCTGCCACTCCCACCCTAGACCCCCCGGTACCCCCCCAGCCAGGGAACGTGTGGCCACCCCTGCAGCGGTGCTGTGCCCACCAGGCTCTTACCTCAGCACAAGGACAGGCAAAGCTCTCAGGGACCTCACCAGCCTCAACCTCCAGCTCAGCACCCTGGACTTTATACTGCCCTCCGGCACGTCACCCACCCCCTCCCAAACAGCCTTGCTCCTTCCAGGACTTGCTCCCTGCCAAGTAAACACCACAGGTGTGTCCAGCCTGTGCTCACACCACCAAGGCACCCACTGGCACCCACTGCTACAGCCAAGTGTCACCCGGGGACAGCCCAGGGGCCACTGCAACACTGAGGCAGGGCCAGCCCCCCCGGATGGTCCCCTTGGGAGGTTTGTGGTCCCCCTGACCACATGCCCTTGCTGTGAGCATCTTCCCCACCGCAACCCTGGAAGCTGGGGCACATGCAGCGTGGCGGGGCCCCGCTCTCCATCCCGGGGGACAGCACTGGGCACCCCTAGCATGCAAAGCACCTTGATCCACTGCTGCAGGCTGATCAGCTGGTCCCTGGGGAGTCACCAACACCCAGATTTGATGTGTAAAAGTGCAGCTGGGGAAAGGCAAACAGCCTGTCAACGATTAACCGAGCTAACGGCCCGTTCCAAGGTCCCGCCGCCCAGCACCCTGCGTGGGGCCGCGGTGTGTTGGGACATGGTGACCCCGCTTTGCAGCTCGGGGCCCCGGTATGGGCTGCGGGACCCCCCCCCCCATCCCCTGCACCAGGGTGGCGGTGATGCTACTGTCTCCAGCATGAAGATGGCAGGCTGCCCCCCCCAGCGAGGGGTGGTGGAGGGCGACGGGGTGGTCCCCCGGCAGCGTGGGGCGGTGGTGGGCAGTGGGGGACCGGAGATCGCCGGTGGGGCGGGGCGGGTGGGGCCGGCCGGAGCCGCAATCTCGGCCCACGATAAATCACCGGCTGAGTCAGCAGCACCGGGGGGAGCGGGAGCGGCTGCGGCCGCCGGCGCCGCCCGGAGCCCGGGGGGGCCCTGCCCGGGGCGAGGAGGGCACTGGGCGAGGGGCAAGTGGGGCCAGCTTCGTGGGGGGACACGTCCCGCGGGAGGCAGACTGGCTGGTGGGCACTGGGGGAGGCACCGGGAGGGCTGCAGCAGCCAGGCGGGGGGCGGGCACTGGGAGGCAGGTTTGGGGGGAGGCACTGGGAGGCAGGTTTGGGGGGAGGCACTGGGAGGCAGGGTGGGGGGGAGGCACTGGGAGGCAGGTTTGGGGGGAGGCACTGAGAGGCAGGTTTGGGGGGAGGCACTGGGAGGCAGGTTTGGGGGGAGGCACTGAGAGGCAGGTTTGGGGGGAGGCACTGGGAGGCAGGGTGGGGGGGAGGCACTGGGAGGCAGGGTGGGGGGGGAGGCACTGGGAGGCAGGTTTGGGGGGAGGCACTGAGAGGCAGGTTTGGGGGGAGGCACTGGGAGGCAGGTTTTGGGGGAGGCACTGGGAGGCAGGTTTGGGGGGAGGCACTGGGAGGCAGGGTGGGGGGGAGGCACTGGGAGGCAGGGTGGGGGGGGAGGCACTGGGAGGCAGGTTTGGGGGGAGGCACTGAGAGGCAGGTTTGGGGGGAGGCACTGGGAGGCAGGTTTTGGGGGAGGCACTGGGAGGCGGGGGGGGGGGAGTCACTGGGAGGCAGGGTGGGGGCAGTGCGGGGCGACGGGGCCGTTCCCGCCCCCGGCAGCACCAGGGACGGCCCAACGCGTGGGAATCCACCTGAAAATGTCATCAAAATAGAGGAGAAAAAACCAAAAACGGGAAAGAAGGAGGAGGAACCCGTGCCGCTGCTGCCCAGCCCGGTGCCCACCCGCTCTCCTCAGCGCACGGTGGTGGGAGGACCACGAGCCCCGGGGGTGGGCAGCACCGTGGCAGCACCCATCCCTGCGCTGCCCTCCGTGCCCGGCCTCCGGGCACCGGCACCTGTTTGCAGCGAGCAAAAACTGTTGTGTAACAGCCAGAGGCCAAGGGCAGGCTGTGCCATGCAGC